AGAAAAATCATTTCGGTGCGCAGTTTGAAGGATTACATGCCTAGTATATAAATTCACATAAAAGTATACAAGCGCTTAAGATCCAACTAGACTGTTAAAGGCATTAATTTCCTATTGATTGTGTACTCACATGTATAGTCTTATAAGATTGTTAGTTTAATCGTCAATTATCCAAATATCATTAATTCTAATTAATTTTATGTACGATTCTCATGGTGGATATTTTTTTCTACAGGGTTATCCTCGAGAATTGCTTCCAATCACGGTTTCCGGAATTCCGTCTATGCATATATGCCTTGACTGGATCCCAGAATTATTGTCGCAATCCGAATCAGAGAAACAAGTATTCGCTGTTGACTTGGCTTCACATCTGGCGATTCAGTATGCTCTGCCAAAAGCTTTAAGCGTTTCTCGATTAGCGATTAATACACTAATAACGCTTTTGGGCGTATTATCTGCCGAGGATCGAGTTATTCTCTTCGTGCCAGTGTTATCGTCATTGACGCGGATATGCTTAGCTTTTCCTCCATTGGCAGAGGACATCACGGGGTTGTTACTGCAGCTTGGCAGGGTTAGCACGGCTCAAGCAGCACTGGGTGATAAAGCAGCGGATCTGTTATGTCAAGAAGTGAACGCGACATTTTGCACGTTACTGCAGAAAGCTATATTGCAATCGCGAGTTTACTAAATTACGACTTGTATTATTTGTGTACATACATAAATCTGTATTATATTTATCCATCATTGTAAAGCGATTTTTAATTTTCGAAGCTACTTTTTTTAATCGTATATGAATTTAAAATATCTTTGATACATTTTGTAACATTAATAGGACTGTATTATTCGATCGTTTGTCAGATGTGTACAAGATTATCAATTAATATTGTTTCTCTATATCTAATACATCTTTTCTTATAATTATCATATATTATATATATGAGGGTATTGCGTGCATATTTATTTTAAATTTAAATGTAATTACAAAAAAATTGTACATACTACGTCCCTACATCCCTCTTATCTTTATAGAGACAAAAGCAATTTCTATAGTAAGAAAATAAATTAATATTTTCTATACTGTATGTGTTGTGGGATATATATATACATACACACACACACACACATATATATGTATATATGTGTGTATGTGTAACAATAAAGAGAGACATTTTCATATCCTTTAGCACATATTTACAAGATTTATTACATGTTTAAAACACAGAGGATATATTTTCTACCTTTTTTTTGTGTCTACAAGTTTGTCATGTTTTGAGCACTGTTACCTTTTTTGTAAGTCATAACGCAAAAAAATTATGTAGACATTATTGTACATCTAGCGTTCTTTTCGTGAAATAAGTGGTGTTTTTACGTGAAGTATTTATATGCATGTCTAACGCGACATAATCTACATAATATGGATGTATAGTCAGTCTGACACTTATTTAGATCATGCATTTATTAATACATAAAGGCGAGAGCATTATTCCAAGGAATTTAACATCAAGAGTTGCTTTAGCACTTTAGTTTGGCTTGTCTCTCTGATCTCACCAGCTAAAAACATTTCATCCACAACAGTGTATACCTAAAATACAATTGTCATAACATACCATCAAATATATAGTTGAGTAATGATAAGGTAATAAAGTAAAACTATATCAATTAATGGATTCTTTACACCGGATGCTTGTTATACAGCATAACATAATGCAGTAATCAATCTGTTCTGTAGGAGTTGTAAGGTTATTGACTACTATTATGTTATCTTGCTGTGCTACAAGCATTTCTATGTCCAGTGTACAAGAGTTGTAAGATAATGTAATTAATAATTCTCACAAATTTCATTCAACTTATAAGATTAAAAATGTATCACTGGAGAAAGAGAAAAGTACCTTGTAAAAATTAAAGACTAAATCCAACTCGCATACATTGTGAAAGTATTCGTTCAACACCTCCACGAAATTATGTATCGCTTCCAAGTAACAGAGATTGTTGTCGTTAACATCGACGCAGATGCAGAAATACAAGCCTGCGTATCGCCTGTATACTATCTTGAAATTGCGAAACTGGAATATATTTAATGTTTAATGACATTGCATGTGTAAATGTAAGAACGTTGCATCATGTCAAGCCAACCTCGACAAAATTTGTATGCTTAGCATCTCTGACAGTGACCACAGCATGAACTTCCTCTATTAACTTCTGCTTTTCATCATCGTCAAAATTCATGTACCACTTCGCTAATCTAGTCTTACCGGCCCTATTTTGTATAAGGATAAATCGTATCTATAAAGAATAAGCATTCGCAGCTTAATATACTTACTTTTGTTATTTAGATATTTTTTAATCATTTACATTAAATGTGAAAGTAAAATAATTATTAATGTATTTTTTATTTTTCAATAGGTAAATTTTATAAATAAAGATGATACTATAATCTATTTTGATTTTTTAATGATTAAATATCACATATTACAGCTGTTTGTCAAAAAAGTAGTTCAACCACCTGACAAAATAAAATGTCAATTACAGAATGTCAAGAAAAATTATACTTTTGGAGTATGTATTCTTTTTATATATTTTTGTTGGCTCCAATGAAAGCTATCGATCTCATTTGAAATTAAATATTTTTATACATACCATTTTAAAAATCGTTTCAATACTTGAAATATCTTATGAAATTTTAGTAAACATAAAATCCTATCAATTCCCCGCCTACCGATCACGAAGTAACGAGTTGGACTGAGTTGGATCATATACTTACAAGGCTGTGTTCCAAAGTTCACTGCCAGCGCTGAAAATCTACAGTTTACGTTACGTATACTATACATTTTCAGCACTGGCAGTGGTTTTGGAACACAGCTTAAGATTGACGGAGCATTCGTATGAGAGAGGCTGATATTTCATGTGTCAGCTTTTCAAGCCTGTTGATTGGCTGCAGAACAGAGAGATCCGAGAATCTCTCTGTTTTGTAGTCAATCAATAAAGGCTTAAAAAGCTTTGTCGACCGATACATGAAATATCGGGCAGAAATTAAAGATTTGATAGAAAGAGAGAGAGAAATAGACACGACTCGCGACAGATAGAAACCTAAGAGAGGACAGGGCCTTTTTCCTATAACCGCAAAACAGCTTTGCAACTGATGTAAAATTTTCTAATATGGTCTTGTCCTTAGTTCCTCATTGGATTTAAATGTATAAACCAATCACATTCAAGAATTTTACAACAGTTGCAAAGCTTTTACTGCTGAACGCAACCGTAGTTCTTGTTCGTGAAAAGGCCAGCCGTTAAGAAGCATAAGCAGGGCTAGGGCTACGGTCCACTTGATGCAACAAATGTTTTGAAGCATTTTTTGATTGGTCAATTAATGAAATTCTTTCTTCTGATTGGTCAGTCAAATCTTCCGAAGCGTTTGTAGCGCCAAGTGGACCGCATCCTTTGTACGTATTTGAAATACTTTTATTTAAAACACACTATTTGCAATACAAGCGTATTTTGTATTTTTTATTTTAGCGGATTACATAAAAGTATTACGTATTTTGTACTTAAAATCGAAAGATTGAAAGCTTTTTGTGTTTTGTAATTCAAATAATAATAGGTTGATTATCAATGTCAGTATTTGAAATACAAAATACAAAATACTTTCATAATTTTTGTTATTAATACTGAAATATAAAATACAAAATACTTTTATATGCTTCTATGAAATACGAAATATAAAATATTTTCATGTACTCTGAACAAATGCAAAATATAAAATATAATTGTCTTATCAATACTGTTTTTCAAATAAAAGTATTTCAAATACATGTCCAGCCCTGAGCGCAAGGCGTGGAAATATTCGATCCAAAAAATAAAAAATATATATACATTATATTTAAGCGCAGAAGATGGTCGGTTCTTATTTAAAGACCGTCTTAAAGGTATATTCATACAAACTTGCATAGCCGTATAAACGTATGCATAAAGAAAATTATCCAATCGCATTTTTCCTACAAAGACGCACGTAAAATGTGATTGGATAATTTTCTTTATGCATATGTTTATGTGACTATGCAAGTTATGTGGATATCCCCTAAAGAGAAACAGGAGGAAATGTATCAATAGTGGGGGTAGCTAAATCCGCGGACGGATATACGTCATGGCAGCCATCTTAAGCGTCCACTTTTTCTGCCGTTTATACGAGTTTTAACAGGAAAAGGATCTTGAGCAACAGAACAGTTTATTATTAATAAATATTGTAAAGAGAGCACCATGGTGTGTTGCTGGGCGTGTGGTGTACCAACTTCAGCTTGAAATTATGGGATAACCTTTCATCGGTTAGTATTATCAGTAATAAGAATTTTATATTTTGGAGGTTATACTTTATCGTATGTATACTAATGTATACTCAAAGAGTAAAGAGAAACAGGAGGGAATGCATTAATAGTGGGAGTAGCTAAATCCGCGGACAAATGTACGTCATGGCAGCCATCTTAAGCGTCCACTTTTTATGCTAGTATATACTATATATTGGTATATATGGTCACTTCCGTCCGCTTGCTTAGAACCAAACATTCCCTCCTGTTTCTCTTTACTCTTTGATACAGCTATGCAAGTTTGTGTAGATATATCCTAAGTAATATCTTAAGACGTTAATGCGCCTGAACCTTTGATTGGTTCGTGACACCTCAAGACAGAACTTAAGACGATCTTGAATCGACTGTGTACCAACCTTAAGCTCCACATCTGAATATTCATTAACTGTGTCCATATAATTTGATTTTAACACGAGGTCGAACTCCTTGAATTGGTGATCCCATAATTAATTCATCTTTGGAAGAACTATCGCTGTTGCTTTTGTTCAAAATTTAGTGACAATTTAATGCATTTGTCAATTTAATGGTGTCTGTTTACATTTACTGCCAGTCAGTCTACTGCAATGTCGTTCCGAAATTGTCCGAAAAATACGACGGATATTACAGTAGTGCTGGCAGTACTACAGTAATTTTGGAACGGCGCTCGATGCGGCCGAAAGTTGCTGAATGTGAGAAGAACGGACGTATCTTGCTGTCGCGCTCAGTCCAAGTCGTGCTGAGCCGAGTTTAGCCGAAAGCGGAGTGCTTAGAGTGCTCGGACTCCAATGTACATCACTGCTCTCCAGCTCTTCTCAGCATTGTCCAACACAGTCGTTGACGACGTTGACGACGTTGAAGTGCGTAAGAGCGTATACCTTGTGTGATGTGACATGCTAAAGTAGCCTGGACGAGCTTGTCCTCGTGGAAACGATGCGTAACGGATTGGCGGGCTAGCTGCTAGAGTCGACTGCAGTCCTTCTCTGTCCCCTCCGTCTTGGGTGAGGGAACAGGCGGACAACAGACGGAAAGTGAAACGGATGGCGAGTGGGGCTTAGCGCGCAGTATGGGAATAATCGGTCGTACGGTGGCACGTAGTGGTGCTCCGATCTGTGATGGAGTCTATGAGGAAGTAACGACGGCCCTCAGGTCGTTTGGGGTACAACACGATGGTATAGTCTTTGCAGGTGATTTCACATCGTGAAAAAAAAAGAAGAGAAAAAGAGAGAGAAGAGTGACCAGAGCAAGTATTCGTCATGTTCCACTATCTGCATCTCAGGAGTCGTTTTCTACAGACCCTCATCCTCGCACTGATCGGCCTGACCTTCTACGCATATTACCGTACCACCATGTATGATGTTCGCCAGTACAGCTTACCACGAAACACCAGTAAGCATTATTATATTTATAAAATTCTTACATGGCTCTTTTTTACCTTGAAGAGATTATTAAAGGTGCTGTTTCGGTTTTAAAGAAATAATAAATTTGGTGATCTCTCTTTCAAAGAAACAAAGCTAAATTAAGAAGCAACAAATACTATTCGTGCTCGTGTTTCTTTGTTGATTAATTTACTTACAAATTCAAGTTATAATAGTTATCTTATATTGCCTCTTGTCTTTTATAAAATAAAGACGCTCTGTTTACAAATTTTGTTTAAATCAATGATCAATATTTTTTTAACATTTTATAAAGCAAAAACAATGATCGATGTTTTTCAACATTTTGGCACATTTTTTTTATCAGTTAATCGTTATCCAGAATTAATGAATTTCAGATTATTCTGCATACCAAGATGGCCTTCATGTTCACACGAATCTCAGCCAATCTAAAAACTCTAGCTCAGACAGCATGTCTGTAAGCCCATACGTAGCGCACAACTCTAGCAACAGCTCCTTGATTTTCACTACGTTGTCAACGTCCTCCAGCGTACAATCTTTGTCCTCGTTGTCTTCCGTGAGCACGTTGATCAACTCGAAGCAGAAGGTGAACGAGAAGCTTGAGATGGCAAGAGTTACCAATGTGACTAACAATAAGTCGGCGCCAATCGTAGTTCGCAACGATTCGGCACGCGCCATATACGAGGCTGGACACATCGTATCGATCCCTGAGCGTTGCCCGAATCTCGGCAAGGACATGGATTTAGTGATGATTGTGATGTCCGCGCCGACCCATCTAGAGGCGCGGACTGCGATTCGGCAGACCTGGGGACACTTTGGCCAGCGCAGTGATATGAGTGTGCTCTTCATGCTCGGTACCACTCTTGATCCAAGAGTAGAGACGATCCTGCGTAAGGAACAAAACATGTACAACGACGTGATACGTGGTCGTTTCCTTGACTCCTATTCGAATCTCACTCTCAAAACCATTTCAACATTGGAGTGGGTAGACACCTATTGTTCTAAGGTGAAATATCTGCTAAAAACCGATGATGACATGTTCATCAATGTACCGCGACTGTTAGCGTTCGTGTATAAACACGTAAAAGACCGTAACGTGATATTCGGTCGACTGGCTAGAAAGTGGAAGCCAATCCGGAACCGCAAGAGCAAGTATTATGTGTCACAGGCACAATTCCAGCAGTCTGTGTTTCCAGACTTTACCACTGGTCCGGCATACCTGTTGTCGAGCGATACGGTGCGCCGTTTGTACGATGCCGCCCTAGACCAGACATATCTAAAGCTCGAGGATGTATTCACAACGGGCATCGTCGCGCACAGGCTCGGCATCAAGCGCTCGCACGCCAACGAATTTCTGAATAAACGGATACAATACACGGCCTGCAACATCCAACGCGGCATTAGTATACACATGGTCAAGTACAGTGAGCAGTTCGACCTCTGGAAAAAGCTGCTTGACGGTAAGAGTAAGTGTAAGTGATAACCAGCAAGGTTGAAAGTGACGAAGGTCCTACGCTTGACCCTGGTGAACCAAGTGCGATCGTTACCGCCTTAATGCAATTCGAGTGCCGGTTACACGCCGACCGGCTGACGCGATACCAACCGTTTCACTGATGACCTCACACACGTACACATATAGCCGCGTGCGCACACATATACATATATGCATTCGGTTCAAGTGCGAGTAAGAGGCAGGCACATATGGAGATTGAGAAATAGTGTACCGCAAAACGGCGTAGAGAATTTTGCCGCTTAAATTTTTACACGATCACGTCGTCAAATTAGGCTTTTCTTTACAGAGGTCGAATGAAAGTGATAATTTTTATCCCTGGAGGAGAATCTCCGGACCTGGAAGACAGAATTTACAATTTTATACATCTATATCTTTTACTATTTTATTATACATCTCTCTGAATTCCAAAGAAATATTTTTATTATCGTAGAATTAATTTTGTAAGATATTTCGTGTAATGTATAGAAATTTTATTTTCTCGAGAAGGGAGAGAGGGTCTTCTACGCATGAGATAGGCATAAATGGTTCTATAGCTTTGTCGACCTCTAGCTAGCCTCTTTTTTTACGTCTCGATACTAAATTGTTTTCCTATAAATATGATCGTCCGCGTTTTCGTTGCACATTTAGTAGCAAATGAGCGTAATTTTTCTATATTACACCGGCGGCGGCATCCCCCATTTGATACACCAAACAAAATCGAACAATCGCATCTGACATTAAAGTGCACAGAAGGAACAAGGGACAATATTTTTACGATGTTAGGAAGACTGCCAATCACAATGAGTTCCCAAAGAGTTCCTTTGTGTAATCAACAGTCTCATCGTACGGTTACACGCATATTCATTGACGACATCCGATTCGCGGTATAATCAGGTCAAAGTAGATATCTAACAGGATGTATCGGATACGACGTACTTTCTCTTAATTAAAAAGAGAATCCGGTGTCAGATTTTTCTTTCTAACATCTCGTTGGGATGTCATTTAACATTCGAATATATTCTGATGAATTAGTAGTTAGAAGTTTTAATGTCATTCAAACAATTTGGTAATACTCGTTAATCGTATTACTGTCGTGTTCAACCGTCAATTCTAATTTTTAACTTGCTTGAAAAAGTACAGATCAATCTCACTTGTGAACCACAAGCATATGGAAAAATACGTACATTTACGTAATTATAATCCCCGTGATTTGTATTGCGAGAGAAGTAGCGAGATACCTCGTCATCAATTATTACGCGTCGCGCGTTATTGCGCCAATCAAGAGCGCGGCTGCCGCCTGAAATAAATGTGTCACAATGAATGGAGAGTGCCCCGAAGCGACTTCCCTCCTCCATTTCGTTCCTCTTGATCCTCGCCTCCTCTTTTTACCTCCCCTCCCTCCCCCCCCCCTTTCCGAATATTATCTAGTCATCGTCTGGATAATACGCCGCGTGATAACACGAGCGGGTGCTGGTGCGCCCGACATCGGTCGTGCCTTCCCTCGAGCGCATTCACGAAGCACTTTCTCGTTATCGCCTCTTTTTTTTTTCGTATCCTGCGGAAGTATCGTACTATACTTCCGCTCTCGGTGCCATATGTCCGAGGCGATGATTATAAGAGATTTTTGAGCCCCGTGGCGCGATGAAATATAAAAGAGAAAAAAAATGCTGCTGGAGAGGGCCGACTATGTCGACCGAGATTCCTGGTTGGACGGGATGATTATTTAGTTTTTATAATTATATTATTATAATTATTTAATTACTTTTTATGATTAATATTTATGGATATATTTTTTTTAATACTTTTGTTAATAATCTTATAAAGTTGGAGAATTGTTGCGTCATTTGCAATCTCGCTATCCCGTCCATATCGAAACCACTCAAATCAACATTAATTAATCGTAGTTTTATATTTTATTACGTATTGTGTTCCTAGTGCGCCGTGTTAAAAAATTATTATATTTTATTATTATATTATTATCGTCTATTTTATACTTCTCCTTCGCTTTTCTAACGTCTTTCGTATTCTTCGAAAAATCGAAAATTCATGAAATACTAATTTTTCGAAAGGATACAATATCACAATCTTGTGAAAAAGTCGAATTTGCATTTAAGAGAGATTTGTAGAGATAAATCAATATTTTTTAAAATCGAATCGAATAAAATTTTGATTTGTTAATATAATCATACATATAAGTTGAATTTGAGCATATAGATATAATGGAAACAATTTTTGATTTAAGAAAAATAATATTGATTATATGATATAAATTTATTTTAAGGTAAATATACGCGTATAGACATATATTTAATATAAAACTAATAAGAAAAAGATTATTTTTTGTTATTGTCATAGTAACTGAAGCAGTAATTCATATACTTTTTACGTATAAATTAAATTTTCCTAATTGAATCACGAAAAGTATTTTGAAATTAACAAACAATAAGTCTCTTATATGAAATGTATTATACATGAAACAGGTACACGAAGTTTGTTAAATAAGCTACTGTTGGATTTTGTCCATTTTCAAATTTTATCTTTAATATATTCGCTGCTTATTATAGAATTAGCTCATTTCCTTAAATATATCTTATGATATACTATTGGCCTAAATATACACCAAATAACATTTTAATTTCACTCCTTTAGTTTTTTATTATATTTTATTTTTTGTTGCGTTTTTTATATATTTGAAATGTTTTATATAAAAATATTTTTATAATTAATTTTTTCGAAGTTTTACATAAGAAATATTAACAAATGTTGTCTAAAACGTTATTGAGGTGAAAAATATTGGCGCTTTTTTTATATTTCAATATTTTTTGATAGAGAGAGAGAGAGTAAAATATATCTACTTATTGTTAATGTGGCAGTGATTGAAACAATTAAGCAAAAAATTATAAATCAATTATTAAAATACTCTAATGTACCAATTTGTATATCATACATTACATATAGAGTAATTGAAATAAAATAATATATAGAATTTATTTTGCTATCAATATTCACATTTCATTATATATTTTTTCATATCTATATATTTAAACTTACAATTTGACAATACTCAACTTACAATTGGCCACGGTACATGTCAAAATTTGTGTGTAGATCTAATAATAAAATATTACTTGTACATGACCGCACTGTTTTGCTTATCAGTGAGAATATGATGATATAAGATAGTATATTATGTATGTGTATATATATATATATATGTATGTGTATATATATGTGTATATATATGTGTATGTATTGGAAGGTTACCGATATCGACATATATTTTGTTAGATAATATTTTACAAACAAAAATTAAAAATAAAATTTAAACATAAACCTAAACTAGAAATATCTGTTATGAGATACATAGCAGCATTTTATGATACTGTTTGCAATTTTACAATAATTAACATTTTTATAAAATAAGTAAAAATGAGCGTCTAACAAAATAGCTTTCAAATTGACATAGTAGGCAGTAATGCTATATAATCCTATTTTTTTTCTTTCAGAGTAGTCATCTGAAAATACTTACAAATAAATGTATGTAAGATTTTTCAGAATTTTTTCACTTTGTTATGAAACATTTTTTGTTGATTTATACGCATATTTTATGCTGTTCTGCAAGACACAAACATGTATTGCAACAGATTCTTTTTGTGAAGGTTTTCCTATAAATATATACGTTTATCTTTAGTTCCGATAGGGCTATTTGACACTGTAATGCAAGACTATAAAGATTAAGTTAGCTTATGATCTTACGGACAGGTGTGCCGGTGTAAGCTGCATCCCTATTTTATATTTAAAATATGAAAAAATGAAAAAGAAATAATATAAATAAAACTGATTAGGAAACTACAAAAACATGTAAAATGGTATAATATTGTTAATAATATAGCCACTTTTTTTATTATTTAAATTATACAATTTAAATTATACGAATCGTAAGAATTCTATTTTTGCATTTGCAGAATTTGTTTTTAACTGATTTTGTACAGAAACAAACCATGGATTAAAAATTTTTATTTCTTCAATTATCTAAACAGATTATGTTTTTATCAGTATTACTAAAGTGTAATAATTTTCAAAAAAGGAATGTCTCTTTAGGAGACCTATGTCAATATCGGCGACTTTCCTCCCTCCCTCCCTCCCTCCCTCTCTCTCTCTCTCTCTCTCTCTCTCTCTCTCTCTCCTAGGCGCATGTGTGTGTGTGTGTGTGTGTGTGAAATTCAATATATGTGGTTCGTAATCAAAATTTTTTAATTCAAAATTTTTGAATAAAATTTTGGAATTTGAATTATAGGAATTAAAATCCGAATCGAATCAAATCTTACCTAATTCGATTCAATTCAATTTGTATTCGAATAATTTACACATCTCTACTCGTCTTCTCGATCGCGCCATAATTTTTCTGTCGCGCATTTTCTTGCGCATAATTCTGAAAAAGTCAATTGCAATTTTGTTGAGCAAGCGAAGGAGGAGCCTATATTACAATATACTGTATCATCGGTTTCTCCTGGTGAGAAAAACCACGCGCGAATCATCACGAGTTAACGAGCTTTGAAGATCAGGTCAAGGCTCTGTCGCTCGTTGGTGCATGGCATAATACTCGCATTGTGTCCTTGGCACGATTCGCTAACACATCGAGTGCAGGGCAAAAGGACGCTTTTACTATACAACAAAATCATAATCTTAAATTTATATTCGAGGTTAAAGAGACGTTGCACTATCCTTTGATTGCGAGACATGTTCTTCTACGCGAAGGAAAAACTCGGAGAGAGACTTCGATCCCGACGAGAAGAGAGGATGATACCTGATATTATCGATGCGTGCCTTCCGATTCATTCGCCGAGAGAAGACAAACGATGTTTTTACATTGAATAGGCCTTGCGAGTGGCACAAAAACTAGCGGAACGAAGACTATTAGGCGATCATATGAGTCACAAATCGTCGTGTTACGCTGAAAAGATGACTTCACTAACACGGGATGCTCATCATGCATGTACATTTCGAGAAAGCGCGAAAAGACACGTCTCCTTGGAATCGGAATGAATGCCTTGTATGATTTACAGACAAGTTCTCGCTGAAATTATATGGAGAGAAGTGAACGAGCTAACGTTTTGCATTACTGCGGAGCAAATCGCAGCTTAATATTCTCCAAACCCAAAATTCAAGTTAAGGGGATGCTGAAACTACGTGTATTACCGATAAAACTAGCGTTTTTGTTCCTGTCCAATTTCTTCGTAGTAATTTCACGGAATAAAAATTCCTTTTCCGTGATCAAAATATACATGCTAATGTACACCAACGTCAGATACATTAGCATATATATTTTAATTGTGGAAAAGAAATTTTTATTCTATGA